ATAAAATTTCACAAAACTTTATCAAAAATTTTTCATGAACTCTAAAGAACCAAAAAAATAGATTAAAAATGAAAATTTGGACTGATTATTTTTAACATATTAAAAATCAAATCAGTAATAATTTGAAAACTATACTATGATACTAATTATAATATGATGTGATTTTTTTTTATGTCTGTAGCCACTTTTTCTCAGCTCTCACCAAACCGATTTCTTTCAACGATACGTCAAAAGATCACAAATCGTATTTAGTCGAAGACATTACCTTCAAAAATTGCCTCGTTCCCTGTAAATGGGGGAAATCTACAAAAAAATTACAAATTTAAAAATCACTAATTTTCGAAATTTTTTCATATTTTTTTACTAAAAACAGCCATAACTTTTTCAAAAATGAATATATTAATATATTTTTTTTTTTTATAGACGACTGATGTTTTTTCCTATCATTTGGTATATTTTTTTATAAATTTAACCCATTACCAGCCCACAGGGAGGGATTCAAAATGACAACTTTTTCACAAAAAATTAACTTTTGATAGTGTTCCAGAACTACTGACACTTTTATATATAACTTAAATTAAAACAAATGTAATATACTTTATTATAGAAAAAAAAATTTTAGAATTTATTTTGTCTTCATGGTGAAAATGGCTACCGTATGCTATTTTTGTGTTAAAATTCTCGATTTTATATTTAACATTTTTAATTTTTAAATTTTATAACTTTTTGAAATATGTATAGATCAATACAATTTTTTTATAAGAAATAATATTTATATACTTTTTTCATTCGACATGATTTTTTTTTAAATCAGACCTTTTCCCTTAATACAGGAGGGGTTCAAAACATAAAAATGCATATAGAAAGTAGTACTTTTTCAACTTAACTTTTGAAAATATTCCGGAAATACTGACATTTTTATATATATATTAAATTAAAGTTTTAGTTTGTTTCCATGGTGAAAAATAGTTAATAATAAAATTAGATTTGTGTTAAAAAAATTTCGGACTTTATTTTAGCTTCGATGCGAATCTGAGAAGGTATTAATTTTACTATGATGTTTTTTTTTTTTTTTATGACTGTTGCTACTTTTTCTTAGCTCTCCCTTGACCGATTTCTTTCAACAATACGTCAAAAGATCACAAATCGAATCTAGTTGAAGACATTACCCTTAAAAATTGACAAATTTTCCCTCGTTTCCCGCAAATTGTGGAAATATCAAAAAAAAATTACAAATTTAAAAAACGGTAAATTTTGCCATTTGTTTCACTTTTTTTTCTTAAAGCTTCCATAAATTTTTCAAAAATAAACAAATCAACATAATTTTTTTTTTATACTAAAACCTTAGATATTTCCCTTTTATTTGATATCATTTTTTTGAAAATCTAACACTTAACCTGCTCATTGGGGGGGATTTCAAATAACAACTTTTTTACAAAAACTAACTTTTTCAACTTCATTTTTGAAAATGTTCCGAAAATACTGCGTCCTTTAAACATATGTCAAATTAAAGCTTATGTCATGTACTATAAAATTAAAAAAAAAAAAAACCCAGCACAGTGGGGTCGCGGCATAGTGGGGATGTTGCATAGTTGGGTTGAGTATAGATTTAATCTGACAGTGATTAAAATCACTATCATAAGAAACGCTTCGATGCAAATCAGTAGATAGTGTTTAATTCTAAGAAATTGGTGGATAATTACAAAAGCTACATTATCTGCTAGTTTCTTATTAATACCCTGATTAAGATAAAGTATGTCGAATGAAAAAGGGATTATTAAAAAATATTATTTCTCAT